AGGTGAGTTACACGTTTCTCATGTGTAAGAAACATTTCTTACATGAAATGAAATCTCAGTGGGGCTGGGGATTTAGCTCAGTTGGTAGAGTGCATGCCTACCACGCACAAGGCCCGAGTTCGATCCCCAGCACCAACAGAAAAGACAAAAAGAAATGGAGTCTCAGGGTAAAATGGAGTTTGTCTGGTCAAGGCACATATAGTTTGACCCACAACAGTCAAAGTGGGATTTGATCCCACATGGGTCCTTCTGGAAAGCAGTGGCAGCTCCTGAGTCCATCTGGACAGTGGTCCTGGGGCAGGCTGCATTGACAGAGGGAGCCCATGAGTTTCAGTCTTTCCTAGATAGACAGATAGATTTGGGGCCACACCTGGCTAAGGCCAGTGATGCGCTCAGTCACGCCCAGGTAATACACCTGTGAAAAGAGAAATTTACAGCAAACTTAGTGTGAAGGTCTTATTAGCTATTATGGTTTAGACATGAGGTGTCCCCTAAAAGCTCATATAAGACAATGCAAGAACATTCAGAGGTAAAATGATTGGGTTGTGACAGCCTTAACCCAATCAGTGAATGAATCCACTGATAGAATAACTGAGTGGTAATTGAGGATTAGGGGTGTGGCTGGAGGAGGTGGATGTTGGGGGCCATGGCCTTGGGGTATACATGTGTATCTGCTGAGTGGAGTTTCTCTCTGCTTCCTGGAGCTATGCTCCCAATTGCTTTCCTCAGCCACTCTTCCACCATGATGTTCTGCCTCATCTTGAGCCCGGAGGAATGGAGCCACCTGTCTATGGACTGAGACCTCTGAAGGCAGGATCCCCAAATGAACTTTTCCACCCCTAAAGTCGTTCTTGTCAGGTCTTTTAGTCACAGCAGCAAAAAAGCTGACTAAAACGTTGGCACTTATTAGTGATTCTGGAATCAGGTAATATCTAGTTTTATAAAATAGGATGAGTGCTCAGATCAGCTGAGCAGAAGGGATTGGCTTAATAGGCAGTAAAGGACTGAAGAAAGCAGAAATAAGAACTGGTCACTTCAATGTTCGTTTCCTTAAAGGGCTACAATGGACGGGACTCATTTACCACACTGGCTCAGGTACACTGAGCTCCTTCTCACTGGTTGATGTGAACTTCTGAGTTCTGGAAAAGTGGTTCATTTTCAAAGTTTGATTTTATCACATGCCACAAAGCATGAATGACTCCATTCTGGTCTGTTGGGGCCCCTGCAGGAGCTTAGTCCAAAACAATGCCCTGTAAATTGTTTATCAACCCCACATAGAAACCCTGAAGCCATGAGGTTTAGGCAACTTCTGGTTGGGTGAACACCTCCTTGTTCTAGAGAGTGGGTGGGTGGCTAGAGAGGGCACAGGAGCTATCTGTGCCCCCTCCCCTGATACCTTGCCTCATGTACTTCTAACATCTGGCTCTTCCTCAGCTGTGTCCTTTACAGCTGTAATATCAAACAGAGCTTCCTTGTGTTCCGTGAGTCATTCTAAGAAATTATAGAACCTGAGGGAGAATTGTGGGAAATATCTAAGCTTGTAGCCAGCCAGGCAGAAGTGCAGGCAAACTGCAGACCCCACTGTTGACCAGCATCTGAAGCAGAGCCAGTCCTATGGGCCCGAGCCCTTAACCTGTGGCTTCTACACTAACTTTGATAGTTGTCAGGATTGAATTTGCTGGGCACAGTGGCACATGCCTGTAATTCCAGTGACTCAGGAGGCTGAGGCAGGAGAAACAAAAGTTCAAAGCCAGTCTCAGCAACTTAGTGAGGCCCTAAGCAAATTAGCAAGACTCTGTCTCAAAATAAAAAATAAAAAGTGGACACAGCTCAGTGGTAAATTTCCCTGGGTTCATCCTAGTGCCAAAAAGAAAAAGAAAAAAAATTGAATCGTAGGATACTAATTTAGTGTCAGAATTGTTATTTATTTAGGGACTGGGATTGTGGCTCAGCGGTAGAGCGCTCGCCTAGCACGTGCGAGGCGCTGGGTTAGATCCTCAGCACCACATAAAAATAAATAAATAAATAAATGAAAGGTTTTGTGTCCAACTACAAATAAAAAAAATTAAAAAAAAAAAGAATTGTTATTTATTTATATTCTCTTATGGTATTAGGAATGGAACTCAGGTCTCACACATGCTAGGCATAGTGCTATACCACAGAGTCACATCCCCAGCCTAGAACTGTCATTGGAACCTATTTGGTGCCAGAACAACATAAGTCACTGCCCTCCTTTTCCTTCTAAGTCACAGTGTGGTACTATCACTGGTCCAGAGGACTACTATGAAATGAAATGCCAGCACCAGGGCTCAGCGGTGGAGCCCCTAACCACAGCACACCAAGTAGCCTGAAATTGGCAAAGCCCTTGGTGGTGGTAAATGCATGGATTTCTTGATTAGAACCACCTTACCAAAGACCCCATGTCTAATAAATCAACCAAGAATGTGCCCATAACCATTTTAGAGGTTCCAAACCTTAGGCTGAGTCACTCAGCTCGAGTATAGATCTAGTCTTAGTTGTGTAAGCGTGACTGTGCACCTTCATTCAGGGGTATGGAGAGAAAAGGTGCAATAAACACGTCCCTGTAATATCAACATACACTGAGTAAGAAGTAACTTTATAATCATTATGGTCAATATGCAAGAATGTTTTTTTATGGTGTCTGAAATGTTCAAGAATCTGGCATATGGACTTAAAATTTTTCTTTTATTTACTGATACATAAAAACAAATTTGTACATGTAAATGGGCTACATGTTATTTTCAATTCATGTGTACTGGAATTGAAGTTTAAAGTTTAATGCCAGCTGATACTAAATTTATTTTTTATTATTTATTTGTTTGTTTATCTATTTTTGCAGTGCTAGGAATCAAACCCAGGGTCTATCCCTAGCCTCAGGGTCTTGTTAAATTGCTGAGGCTAGACTTGAACTCGTGATCCTCTTGCCTCAGCCTCCTGAGTTACTGGAATTACAAGCATATACCACTACATGTGGCTTATCTTCTTTTTTAATATTTATTTTTTAGTTGTAGTTAGACACAATACCTTGATTTTATTTATTTATATGTGGTGCTGAGGTTTGAACCCAGGGCCTTGCACGTACCAGACAAGTGCTCTACCATTGAGCCACATAACTCCCTGGCTTATCTTTAATATTTGCTTTTAAATGTATCATTCATTGCTGGCAAAGTGGTCCAATCACTTTGAAGAGAGTTTAGCAGTTTCTTACAAAGCTGTACATAAGCTGAACACAGTCTTACCATTGGACCCAACAACTGGATGAATTGAAAACTCACATTTATACAAAACCCCACATGTGAATATCTAAAGCAGTTTGGTTTATAATTGCCAATAAATGGAAGCAGAGCTGGAGGTGTAGATTAGTGTTAGAGCATTGCTCTAGCACACACAGCCCTGAGATTCATTTCCAGCAGTGTGTGTGTGTGTGGGGGGCACATGTGTGTGCATGCTGGCCATGGTGGTGCAAGCCTGTAATCCCAGAGACTCAGGAGGCTGAAGCAGAAGGATGGCAAGTTTGAAGCCAACCTCCACAATTTAGCAAGACCTTGTCTCAAAACAAAAAATAAAAAGGGCTGGGGATGTAGTTAAGTTGTTAAGCCCCACTGGGTTCAATCTTCAGTACCAAAAAATAGAGGAGGAGAAGGAGTTTGGGGGAGGGAGAGAAGGAAGCAAACTGAAAAGTTGAATAGATAAACTGTGGCACTTCCATCCAATAAAATAGCATCTATCAATAAAAAGTAATGAATAAGTCACACAAAGAATGGAGGAAACTTAAATTCATATCCTTTAATGAAAGAAGCCAATCTGAAAAGGCTACATACTGTATGATTTCAACTCTATGAAATTCTGGAAGGTAAAACTATAGAGACAAATTCCTACTGTAATAATGATACATGCCTATGCTTCAGTCAAAACCCATAGAATGGGGCTGGAGTCATAGCTCAGTGGTAGAGTTCTTATCTAGCATTGTGAGGCACTGGGTTCGATCCTCAGTACCATATACAAATAAATAAATAAACGTATTGTCTTCATCTACAACTAAACAACAACAAAAACATAAAATGCACTCAAAGAGAGAACTCTTGTGTAGACTACAGAACCTTGGTTGATAACAATGTATCATTTTTGTTTACCAAGTATAACAATGTAGCACACCACTGCAAGATGTTAACAATTTAAAAAAAATACAGGTTTAGAAGAGGTCTGTGTCAAACTCCTCAATTTTCAAATTAAAACTGCTTTAGGGCTAGGGCTGTAGCTCAATGGTAAAGCACCTGCCTCGCATGTGTGAGGCACTGGGTACTATTCTCCGGCACCACATAAAAATACTGTATTTTTTTACAACTAAAAAAAAAAAAAAAAAAAAAAAAAAACCTGCTTTGGCCAGGTGGTGGCGCATGCCTGTAATCTCAGCAGCTCAGGAGCCTGAGGCAGGAGGATGCAAGTTCGAAGCCAGCACTCAGCAATTTAGTGAGGTCCTAAGCAACTTAAGGAGACCCTGCCTCAAATTTAAAAATACAAAGAACCGGAGACTTAACTCAGTGGTAATTTCCCTGGGTACTAAAGAGAGAGGTTGCGGGAGAGAGGGAGAGAGAGAAAGTAAATGAAAGTAAGAGCTGGAGTTGTGGCAGAGCGCTTGCCTGGCTCGTGTGAGGCGCTGGGTTCAATCCTCAGCGCCACATAAAATTCATAAACACACACATACATAGGTGAATGTATTTTTTTTTTAAAAAAAAAAACTGGATTAAATTGTTTCTAACGTGATTTCCAGCTCTGGGCCTGAGAGTCCCCTTGCATAAAACGACGCTGAGGTCTGGCTGGTGCCGACTCAAGAACGCGGCTCTCGATCCAACCCGGGTCGGGGAAAGACCCAGAAGGCCGCGCTCCGCACCACTGAGCCCACCAGTGCCCAAGAGCTCCCCTCGCGGACGCACCTCGGCCACGCCCCACTAGTTCTCCGATTGGACGGCTCGGCGGGGGTGTGGCCGGAAGGCATGGGTCTGATTGGCAGGGGCGTGGCCGACGGCACGCGGCGGAACATGGCGGAGCGCGCGAGGAAGCGGCCCTGCGGCCCGGTAGGTACTGGTAGGCGGGGGTCCTGCCAGCCCCCGGCGCTCGGGGAGTGAGAACGACCCACGTGGGGGCTGGTGGCGGGTCCCGCCAGCGCCTCCCGCTCCCTGCTCCTCGAGGAAGGTGTTGCATGCCGGTTGACGCGTGTGCCCCCGCCCGGATGCGATTAGGAGGTGGGAGTCGGGGCCGAGGCCAGCGCTGGGACTCGGCGGGCAGCCAAGGCCGACGAGTCCCTGTGGTTCTGCGGCGGGGGCTGCATTCCAGAGGTGGAACCCGCCCTCACCCTGAGCCTTTTCTTGCCTTGTCTTCTGATTCCCATGGCGGCTATGGCCGGTCCTGCCCCTGAGCCGAACTCATTCAACAGTTTAATGCCTATCATGGCCTGATCTCAGGCATTGTGGGTACAGGGGGTCCCTGCCCTCCTGAGGCGTTTTCTGTGGTAGAGGGACAGGTTGGCTGTGGAGCCCTATGTGTGCTCCCTTCGCAGATGTGACCATTCAGCCTCTCACTCTTAATCCTCCTCCTACTCCTGCTCCAGGGTGAACATGGCCAAAGGGTGGAGTGGCGAAAATGGAAGCAACAGAGTAAGTACCGGCCGGGCCTGGCTGGGCCTGGGGTGGGAAAGAGTGACTGTTCTCCTGGCCATTCCAGGAGAACACAGCCAGCCTTGGCCAGACACAGGGAAGGACACAAATTTATCCCCTCTGGGTCTTGCACCTCTTGCAGCTCTGGCTGCTTGCCCAGCAATACCCCAGCACTCAAGCTGTCCTAATGAGAGGTAATGATCCCTCTGACTGCTCCAAGTCACTCTCTCCCCACACCAATCAGGATGTTCTCTTATTCAGAGAAAGAGGAGAAAAAGAAGTGGAAGGACATGAAATTGACAAAAAAACTGGAGAAGCAACGGGCACAAGAGGAGCAGACAAAGCGACAGAAGGAGGAGGAGGAGGCAGCTGCCCAGAGGGAAAACCAAGGTGTGTGGCTGAGTCCTGGGGAGGGGCACAGGATATGGCTTCAGCAGATGTCCTGCAGGCAGAGCAGAGAATGTCATATCTGGAAGAGTCTCAAGTGACCATTGGGTCCAAACGTCCTGATAGAAACTGAGGCCCAGAGAAGAGGAGGGACTCTTTACTGAGTCCTAACCTCCTACTTAAGTAGATTTCAAGCATCATGTCTCTTAACTTTTGTCCTCCAGAACCTTGACATTTTCTTCCTTCCCTGCCTTGCTTTTCTTCTTTCTTCTTTTTCTTTCTGCTGGGGATGGAATCCAGGCCCTCACACATGCTGAACTACATCCCCAGACTAAAATTTCATGGTATTAATGATTGTTGTTGTTGTTTTTACTTTCTTATTGAGCTTTCTGAATGCTTCAATTTCATTTAATTTTTATTTCACAATGAAGTTGTTTCTTTGTCTTCCCATTATAAATAATGCATGCTTAACAACACCCTCTTCTGCTGCCTAGGACGGCCCTACACTCTGAGCGTGGCCCTGCCAGGCTCTATCCTGGACAATGCCCAGTCACCTGAGCTTCGTACCTACTTGGCTGGCCAGATTGCCAGAGCCTGTGCCATCTTCTGTGTGGATGAGATTGTGGTGTTCGATGAGGAGGGTCACGATGCCAAGTGAGAGGCCATCCCAAGGGCCTGGGAGCTCAGGGAGGAGGAAGGGGCTGCCAGGGTTGGCTGTGACTTCACTCTTTCCACCTGCCCAACTCTTCCAGAGTCTAAAATGCTGCAGTATAATCCTTAGTGGGTCCACTGGCCAGGCATGGGCAATGACCACAGAGGTCACATTAGTTGGGAGGAGCTCTAGAATGAGACTGTTGTTTGCTTTTGTTTGTGTGGTTGGTTTTTGTGCTGGATTTTGAATTCAGGGCATATACTCTATCACTGAGCTATATCCGAAGCCAGAAATTGGATTTTGAGTCATGTCTTTCTCTCCAGGACTGTGGAAGGAGAGTTTAAGGGAGTCGGCAAGAAGGGGCAGGCATGTGTACAGCTGGCCCGTATCCTGCAGTACCTGGAGTGTCCACAGTAAGCAGTGACTTCCTTGGTCATGGGTGGGGTTGGGGGGGTGTATGGGATCAACATGCAGGTGAGCTAGGAGGTGGCTTCCCCTGGGAACTTACTGAGATCTGCATTCTTTACTAGGTACCTGAGAAAGGCATTCTTCCCCAAGCACCAGGATCTACAGTTTGCAGGTAAGCCTGGTAGGCCTGATCCCTCTTCCCATAGATCACCCCTCAGACACGAGAAAAGCATCCAGTCCCCTACCAGGTATTCAGGGGAAGGCAGGCCCAGGAGGGCAATGTCATGCCTAATGTCCAGCTGCAGGTCTGTGGCAGAGCTGCGACTTAAACCAGGGTCCTGGCCTTATCCTTGCATGCACTTCCCAGACTCCTCCTGCCACCCCCTCCAGGGCTCCTGAACCCCTTGGACAGCCCTCACCACATGCGCCAGGATGAGGAATCCGAATTCCGAGAAGGCATCGTGGTAGACAGGCCCACCCGACCAGGCCATGGCTCTTTTGTTAACTGTGGAATGAAGAAGGTAAGAACTCGGGGGGTGAGCTGTGATGTACTTCAGGGACACACGCCAGCTATGGAGGGTAGGCAGGGCATGTAGGTGGGGTGACCTGACTATAAAGCCCCATTGATGCATATTTGGGCCAGGGAAGAGCCCAAAACAAGCTTTAAGAGATAAGGCAGGAGCAAATGTACTATTTTTTACGTATTTATTTTTGGTGCTGAGGATTGGACCCAAGCCTGCTAAACATGTGCCCTACCACTGAGCTGCACCCCAGCTTTACTGTTTTTTTAAAAGCAGATCAAAAATAAGTCAGAGGGGGCTGGGGTTGTGGCTCAGTAGTAGAGCGCTCGCCTAGCAGAGGTGAGGATTGTGTTTGATCCTCAGCACCACATGAAGATAAATAAATAAAGGTATTGTGTCCATCTACAGCTAAAAAAATATTTAAAAAAACAAAAACAAATCAGAACCCTGTAATAACAAACTGAAAACTACTCAGACTCCAGTGTGACACAGAGCCAAGCTTGGGAGTAGAACACTAATTTACTTCCTGTTCATTCAAGTCCCCTGGAGTCAGAGACAGAAACAGTGAAGTGTGTGGGATTCCCCCACCCCCAAAAAAGAACAGACCAGACATGAATGGCTAAAAGTAGACCAGGATGACACAAACAAAAGGGAAAAGCATGAGAAACTCTCAGAATGATAAGAGAGTGCCCACCAAGGGTGATAAATTCCAAATTGGGGCAGAACACAAATAATTGTCACTCATCACAGCTAACGTTTAACCATTTACTTCATGCCAGAGCTTGAGAAGTTTAAGAATAGCTGTTGTTTGTGGAAGGGTTTTCAGTTTGACAGATGTGGAAACTGAGGTTCAGGGGCTAAGTGACCTGCTCAAATTACTATAGCCAGTAATTAGCAAAATGATCAAAATGTGGAAAACTGGGATTTCATCTATTGGGGAAAACTCCCTGTGTGTGCTAAGCCCCTAGCCTTCATTTCTGACCAGTATCTTGTGATAGTACTATGAACAGGTCTAGCCCATTCCAAAGCAGGAGGATTGTAAATTGACCCGAACCCCTTGGGTCCCATACCAGCCCTGCCGTTCCCCCAGCAGGGTCTCAGAGGGCAATGCCTCCTACTGGTTGTGGTGGGAAACAGCATCCATTTCTTCTGGCCTCTCCCCAGGAGGTGAAGATTGACAAGAACCTGGAGCCTGGACTTCGAGTGACTGTGAGACTGAACCAGAAGCAGCTCCCAGGTATCTGGAAGCTTCCTTAACTTTTATGGTGGCCTAGCCAGCCCCACGTCTCCAAATTTCCCTCCACCTCCCTTCCCCTTGGCTCATTGTCACAGCTTCTCTATTTCCCTTCCAGAATGTAAGACCTACCGGGGAACAGTTGTGTCATCACAGGACCCTCGCACCAAAGCCGGTCTCTACTGGGGCTACACAGTCCGGCTAGCCTCCTGCCTCAGTAAGGACAGAGCTTCTCTCTCTGAATGTCCAGCCAGCCCTCTGTCTGGGAGGTGGCAGAGAGCCTTCCTTGACCCACAAGTCAAAACACAGCCCTTGCCCTACCATACTGAGTGTGTCCTGGGCAACTATCTTTTCTGTTAGCTTGGTCTCCTTGAATGCACTGCCTAGAATGTTCTTGAGGACTTCTGAGGAAAAGTATCAGAGTTGACTGATGATGTCTCAGATAGGGACAATAGGATCAAAGTTCTCCATGTTCTTAGAGCTGCTTCCTGCCCACCTTGTTTTTTCCCCCAACTAATTGCAGGCTTGGTCTCCACTGTGCCCAGTTCTGACTTCTCAAGAGTAGTGGAGGGCCCCCTTACCTGAGCCCCAGCTCCACCCTACCCCTTCAATGTAATGAACACACAGCCAAGAGCAAGACTCCCACTGAGTTGGCCTCACCCCCAGGTGCTGTGTTTTCTGAGGCGCCCTTTCAGGACGGGTATGACCTGACCATTGGGACGTCAGAGCGTGGCTCAGATGTGGCCTCTGCCCAGCTGCCCAGCTTCAGGTGGGTGCTGCCTGTGGCAGGGGACAGGGGACAGAGGCCAGGGGAAGAAAAAGAGGCAGGTACCTGCCTGGTGGGGCCAAGCTGCCTAGGCTGGGCCCCTGCTGTACTCTGGGACTGTGTTCCGTGGGGCCTTGGTGAATAGTTACTGATTCCCCCTCTGGGTGACAGGCACGCAGTGGTAGTGTTTGGGGGCCTCCAAGGGCTAGAAGCTGGAGTGGATGCTGACCCCAACCTGGAGGTGACCGAACCCAGTGTTCTCTTCGACCTGTATGTCAACACATGCCCTAACCAGGGCAGTCGCACCATTCGCACTGAGGTGAGCCCACCTGTGTTGACCTCCAGCCAGCAGCTGGGGCCTCAGATCTGTCCAAGGTAGTTAGCAGCTGGCCTGGTAGCCCATCCTGGCCAACATGCCTTCACTGGAAAGGGACTCCTCACCCCTCACTAACACAAACTGTGGCAGGGAGATGAGTGCAGTGCAGGAGGGGTCCTGAATCCTGGGTGCCAGTGTTAGTCCTGTGCTCCCAGTGGGGACCCAGGCAACCTGTGCATCCCTGTGTGGGCTTCTGTTTCTATTACTGTATACTTAGTGTTCCTCAGTGGCTCCGGCTCTGCCACCTCCTCTCCTGTGACCTCAATGGGTATGGCTGCTGTCCCTTCAGGTGTCACCTGCATCCCTGTCCACTAGGAAGCATTGTGCCATTAGAGCTGAAAGCCTCAGTGCGCTCACCTCTCGCACAGAATGCTGTCTTCGTGACAGGCTGTACTGCCTGTCAGTCTCAGTGGGGTGGTAGCTTCACAGATGGACAGCCCTGGTCTCCCTGTCCCTGAGGCCCGCCCTGCCCAAGTGCTTGAGCCTGCCAGCCATACCCACAGCAGAAACCTGACCCCACTCCTGACACCCATTCAGGGAAGGTGGAGAACTCTGCTCACAGCATCACCTCCCCAGCCCAGGGAGGCTGGCATTAGTACTGTCATGCCCAATTTAGAGAGTACACAAGAGCAGGGCGTGCTGCCTGCCACAAGGCAGATCTCAGGATGAACCTGGCTGGCCCTTAACCTCCCAGGGCCCACTAAGAGCAGTCAGCTCATGGGGCGGGGCCTGGGGTGGTCAGGTAGGAGCTGGCACCCCTCTGCCTCCCCGGCCCCAGTCTGGCATTCTCTTCTCTTCCAGGAAGCCATACTCATCTCTCTGGCAGCCCTGCAGCCCAGCCTCACCCAGGCAGGCACTCAGACCACCTAAAGTTTCCCATGAGTGTCGGATATGGGTGAAGCAGCCGTGAGAGGGGCTACTGCAGGCCATCAGGACAGCCACAGCCAAGACTTCTCTCCAAAAATAACCTTCTTTAATGCAATCCAGGCCCTAGGCCTAGGCCCCCAGTCTCTAAGCTGCTGCCCTCACTTGCTACCAGCGGTAATGGCCTTAAGGTTTCCTGCTCGTGCCAGGATGTTTGGCACAAAGAGCAGCCCTGAGGCCCGCTCAATGCTCTCAATGGGTACCAGGAAGCGCTCCAGGGGAATGGCCTCATCCACGGGTGCGTTCGGCATCACGTAGGAGTGGAGCTCAATTTGTCCACCGGCTGACTCCAGGATCAGCACCTTGAAGAAGTGTGTGGGCACTGCCACGTGATTCTTGCCAATTACCTGGTACTTTACATAGGACTTCCCATCAGCCTCCGTCCTGTGGGCAGACCCAGGTGTACATGACCAAGGGCCCTGGATGGACCCAAGGATGCTTCCTCCAGGAAGCCTTCCCTTGTCTGACCTCCACCTTCTGCCCCCCACCAGATCACCCCCTCATTGTGAGGCTTCTGTGCCCTGTCCGGCTCCTCCTTGAGGCTGGAACCCACAGGAGTCAGGCGGAGTGGGTGGCAATAAATGCTGCTGAAAGAATCAGTCCTCTCATCTTCAGTTCACTAGCACGGACACATTCTGGCTGCCTGTCTGTCCTGTAGCAGTGCACCAAGAGGGCAAAGGCCAAGGCAGCGGAAACCCCAGTGCCAGCATGAGATACATGTAGGTGTGGGGACACTGGATGGGCGACTGGCTCCTCAGCAGTGTTGCCTCCATTTCACCATTCTGTGCCCTCAACGACAATGAGATCACATGTTGTAATCCCATTTTATAAGGAAAGACATTGAGGTCACTGACCCATGGCACTAGGGACTAGATGTAAGGCCTGGATTCCATCCCATGTTTGTGGACTTGAGAGGCAACTGCTTAGCTGTGACCTACTGCCTCACCTGGCCTTGTCCTCGGTGCACCAGAAACATCACTGGGCCTGACCACAGGAGCTTAGCCCTTCTACCCTGGGAGACAGAGGTGCAGAGGGACTGGAGTGAAAGCCCAGATCAGGCAGATTGGAGGGCAGGGAAGGGTCACTCCAAGCCGAGCAGAGACAGAAAGCAAGAGCCTGGTGCGAGAACAGTGAGGGCTTCCATCCCTGCAGAACATGAGGCAGGAGGTGTCAGGAGAGCAGCAAGGGGAGGTTCAGGGCCTTGTGACCACAGAGAGCTGGTCTAAGGAGGGCATCCAAAGGATTCGCTGCAGAGGAGGAATGAGGGCCCAAGGCAGAAACAGATGAGTGATGACTTTTGGGACCTCACCTGGGCAGGAAGAGCGGCCCTGTGCAGACATAGACGTTTTGGTAGGTGCGGGCCAAGCTGCGGCTATACTTCTCCAGGTTGTTCCAGGCATTCTGGTTGAGGTGGGGCACCTGGTGGAAGAAGTGAACCAGAGTGGGATCATGCCTGGGACCCTTTACCCCCTGCCACAGAGCTGCTCTGAGCCCAGGGGTGGGGTGGGGGGCATGCAGGCAGAGGAAACAAGCTCAAGGAAGGAATAGAGGTCATGTGGCTACAAGGTGGACAGAGCCTGGGCAGGGTTGACAAGGATACCTCCTGCACCCCCACTCTCACAAATCATTTTCCAGCTCAAAGAGCTACACAAAGAAAGGAGAACTTCTCCCCCTTTGAGGACACTGAGAGCCATTTGAGCTCTCCAGGGTCTCAGGAGAGCCCTCCATTTCACCATTCTGTGCCCTCAACGACAGTGAGATCACATGTTGAGATCACAGGACAAGGTCTAGGAAAAATGGATAGAGGATTGTGCATGGGAAAGAAGCTGGGTGGGAGGCTTGTGCTCATGGGTTTCACGCAGAGCCCATCTGTCTCCATCCTGGGTGCCAGGCTCTGCTGGGAACCCAGCCAGAGGTAGAGCAGCTGGTCTAGGATGTAGTGAGTGGCAGTGACACCCTGCCTGCCTGCCTGCCCACTTGCTAGTAGTGTTCCTGGTAACTGCTCACAGGCACAGAGGGCTGAAGTCTCAGCTCCTCTAGACTGCCGCCTGGATTCTCCTCCTGCTGTGTGGACCACGAAGTTACTCCAACCTTCTGAGCCTGTTCCCTCAGTGTAGCCAATGATCAGTGGGCCATGAACAGTGCTGGGCGCTTTGACTCATCACTACTGCAAGGAGGTAAACAGAAGCTTTATCCCCATTTTATTTAACTTATTTTTTGGGAATGAAACCTGAGCTCTGTCAGTAAGCTACACCCCAGCTTTTTATTTTGAGGCAGGTCTCCACTAAGTTGCCCAGGCTGGACCCTGGCGATCCTCTTGCCTCAGCCTCCCCAGCTGCTGGAATTGTAAGAATGCGCCACCGTCCCGGGCTCATCCCCATTTTACAGAGAAAGAAACTGAAGAACAAGGAGGTGCCCAGGGCTCAGTTTTTTAAGTTCAAGCCCACGTCTGAAGGCACAGCCCATGCTCAGAGCCCCAGGGCTCCTCCCTCCCGCCCGGAGCGCTCTATACGCTTAGGACCTGGAGCGTGCATTGGGCAAACAGCCTCAGGCTCAGGGAGGTGAGACGCTGGCCCCGCGTTCCGCAGCCCGGTCTAGGGCATGAGCGCTACCTGGGGCGCGACGTTGCTCAGGTAGAAGGTGTCGTCCATGGCCTTCTGGCTCCATCGATGGTTGGCGGCAGCAGCCAGGTGGCCGCGGTCGAAGCCGCTGCCGCGGTAGTCGGCATTGGTAGCGCGATGATATGCATGCACCGAGTCATCCTCGCGGAAGTCGCACGAGCGGCGGTCGCCGTCGCCGCGGAGTCGCTCGGGCCGCAGCTGCTCGACCACCCAGAGCGCGCCGCGGGTGCGCGGGTCGTAGCAAAGCACGTACGATTCTCGGGTCTTGAGCTGCGCCACGCCGGGCAGCCCGTACTTGGCCAGCTCGCCGGGCCCGCGGCCCGCTGGTCCCCCGGGCAGAGCGGGCACGGCAGGCAGCTCGGCCGCCGCAGCCACGGGCAGCACGGGCAGCCGCCCCAACAGCCCCGGCGTCGCCTGCGCGTCTGCCCGTCGCTGCCTCCAGTGCTCGGCGGCCGCACCCAGCCCCGCGCCCAGCGCCAGGGTCAGGCCGACCCGCAGCGCCATGGCCGAGCAGCTCCGCGAGGGGATGCGGCGCAGGCTGAGCGCACGCCGCGACCTCGGGCCTACCCACCCCCGGCGCTCTTAAAGGGGCATAGTCGCACCGCGGGGCCCACAGCAGGGCTGACGCAGGGTGGGGGTCGTGGAGGGTGGAATGTCCTTTCCCTCCGCTGGCAAACGCTTCCAAGGGCTTGGGACTCAGAACCAAAGGAAGTGGGACAGGCCCCAGGTGAGTGCCCGGCGCCCTTTCTTTGCCCTTTAAGTCTCAGGCCCAAGGTATGGCTCCGCCTTCACCCCTTGCACCACCGCCTCGGACCTTCCCCTCTGCGCCTGTGTGAGGCGCTCCGCGTCAGCGCCACCTGAGGCTCACGCGGGACTGTAAAGCGTTTTTATCACTTAATTTAATCCTCACAACTGCCCCAGGGGAGTTGGCGGAACCCGGACAGGACCCCAGGTCTGTCAGACTCCGAGACGGAGATCTCCTGATCAGTACACCACAAAACAACCAAGACTTCTAGATTGCCAACGATTTCCTTATTACCTGGCGTGAGGAGCAAGGACGCAGGCAGCAGAGGCCAGCTGCTGGATGAACGGAAACTTGGTACAGAGATTCCAGAAGGCAGCTTTCATAGTGTGTGTGAAAAGCTTCAAAAGGGTTCACATCTTTCAACCCACTTAGAGGACTGAGCTGGGGAAACAAGCTGAGAACGCAAGGAGTTGAAACACATGCTCAGCGCAGTACGGCTTATGATAGAGGCTGCGATGGCAAATGTTAAAATAGGAACTGGTTAAGGGTATTTTTTTCTTTTTTGTACTTAGAACAGAATTTAGGCCATTAAATATTTTAAAGTCATACAGTAACTTTCTCACCACCTAAGGTGAGGGAAGAACAATACACAAACACGATAAATCAAGAAAATAATAATTATGTGTAGAGAATCAGATGTAACTTTGTTACTATTACTGTCCTTGATGGAGTCTGCCTGCAAACGGGATATTCTGTCAAGGTATAGATAGGTAACAGTAGACATGCTTGAAAACCAGGTGTCTGCTGTCCTTGGGAGGGCCTACTTGTAAAGGAGAGGCTCCTTCAAGGTTTAGATAAGGTAACAGCCGACATGCTTGAAAACGAGGTGCCTGCTGTCCTTGGGAGGACTTGCCTGCAAACGGGATGTTCTGCCAAGTGGGCTAGGGAGGGCGCTGAGAAAAATTTTATTATCTGTTCTTAACAAAGAGCAGAGCTCAACATACTCTGGGCCGAAAATAGATTAGCCATGAGAAGGGGTCACTTCTGATTAGAAAGTAAAACTTCTGTATGCTATGTTTAATTATTGATGTTGGAAGGCTGCCTTCTTTGTTCACAATACTATAAAAAGATTGCTGTACACAATAAAGGACTTTTTTTCCTGCTGCTGCTTTGCTTGCTCTGCTTCTTCTTTCTTTTCCCATGCTGACCTGCAAGTGAATTACTGCAACATTATGAAATAAAAATTACATGCAATAAAAATCTACATGTTTCAGGTATTTTCTCTAGATTGTAGGATGGGGGCAGGGCATGTCTTATTACCTCCTTTTGAATTTCCAAGTTTTTTGTAACTTGTTAAAATATAATTGTATATATTGCAAGGTATAATGTGATTTTAATATATGTATGCAATGTGGAATGATTAACATATCCATCATCTCAAATGCTTACTTTTGTGATGAAAATATTTAAAATAACTCTTAGCAATTTTAAAATACACATTATTAACCACAGTCACCATACTGTGCAATAACTGATTTCAGAAAAAAAAACTTATTCCTCCACCAGGCATGGTGATGCCTGTAATCCCAGCTACTCAGGATGCTCAGGTGGATGGGAAATTGAAGGCCAGCCTGGGTGTCTTAGACCTTGTCTTTCAAAAAATTAAAAAAAAAAAAAAAAAAAAAAAGCTAGGCACAGTGGCAGATGCCTGTAATCCCAGGGGCTCAGGAGCATGAGGTGAGAGAATCGCAAGTTTGAGGCCAGCCTCAGCAATTTAGGCCCTCTCTCAGCAGTAAATTGTCCCTAGGTTCAGTCCCAAAAGACAAATTTAAAAATCAATTGACTATAAATGTGTATTTCTGGGCTTTCTATTCTCTTGGTTGATATTGGAGGGCGGGGCGGGAACCAAGGATTGAACTCAGGGGCACTTGACCACTGAGCCATATCCCCAGCCCTATTTTGTATTTTATTTAGAGACAGTGTCTCACTGAGTTGCTTAGAGCCTCTCTAAATTGCTGAGGCTGGCTTTGAACTGGCGGCCTCTTGCTTCTGCCTCTATGGGGTTATAGTCATGCGCCACCATGCCCAGCTCTTGGTTGATATCTATATTTTGAAGTCAGGTAGTGTGATACCCACAGCACTTTTTTTTTTTTCCTGTTAAGAGGGCAAAGCCAGGGCCTCATACATGGTAGGCAAGCTCTCTACCACTGAGCTACATCCCCAGCCCCTCCAGTTTTCCTTTTGTTCAAGAGTGCCTTGGTTGGGCTGGGGATGTGGCTCAAGCAGTAGCGCGCTCGCCTGGCTTGCGTGCGGCCCGGGTTCGATCCCAGCACCACATACAAAGATGTTGTGTCCACCAAAAACTAAAAAATAAATATTAAATAAAAAATCCTCTCTCTCTCTTAAAAAAAAGATTGCTTTGGTTACCTGGGATTTTTTGTGATTGATTGCATACACATTTTAGGATTGGCAGCAGGTGTAATGGCATATGCCAGTGATCCTGGAAACTAGGGAGGCTGAGGCAGGAGAAATGAGCATTCCATATCAGCCTCAGCAATGTAGCCACACCCTGATTCAAAAATTTTAAAAAAGTAAGGGCTGGGGATTTACATCAGTGGTAAAGCCTCCCTGGGTTCAATCCCCAGCACCCCAAAAAATAAAAATTATTTTGCTTGTGAAAAATCACGTTGAAATTTTGACAGGATTGCACTGAATCTGTACGTTGCTTTAGATAATGTGAACATTTTAACAAATAATTCTTCCAATCCATAACTTGAAATCTTTCCATTTATTTATGTTCTTCAATTTCTTTCAAAGTTTTATAATATTCAATGCACAGATTTTTCATTTCCCTGGTTAAATTTATTCCTGGGATTGGGGTGTAGCCCAGTGGTAGAGCTCTTCTTGCCTAGCATTCGAGAGTCTCTGGGTTCCATCGCCAGCACTTTAAAGCAAAACATTTATTCTGGAAGTACTTGAAATTTTGTGGCATACCAACTATTTTCTTTTTTGTTTGTTAATGTATAGAAATGTTGACTAGCCAGACAGGGCAGTGCACATGTGATCCAGCAACTTGAAAAGCTGAGGCAGGAGGATCACATGTTTGAGGCCAGCCTGGGCAACTTAGTGAGTGGCTAACTCAAAATAAAAAGAACTAGGGGGTGTGGGTCAGTGGTAAAGCATCCTTGGGTTCAACTCCCAGTTCCAAAAAAATATAGAAAATTAAAAAATGCTACTGACCTGTTTGGTTTTTGCGATGGGGGCTGAACCTGAGGCCCTGTGCGTACTAAGCAGCAGCTTTACCCTGAGCTACACCCCAGACTGCGTTGACTTTGTATCATGCAACTTTACTGCATTTTCTTATTTTTTTCACACTGTTTTGGTGAAGTCTTTAGGATTTTCTACATACAAGATCATATTGTCCAAAGAAAATTTTAAATCTTTCCTATCTGGATGACTTCTTTCTCTTGCCTAACTGCTCTGCCTAGGAATTCCAGTTCTATTTGAATACAAGTGGCAAGAATGAGCATCCTTGTCTTGTTCCTGGTCTTAAGAGGAAGTTTTCAACTTCTTGCCACTGAGTAGGATGTTAGCTGGGGGTTTCTCATATATTGCTTTTATCCAATTGAGTATATTCCTATTATGCCTCATCTGTCAAGTTTTTAATCATGAAAAAAATATTGAATTTTGTAATACATTTTTTCTGCATCTAATGAAATTACCTAAGTGTGCATGTGTACGTTTGTGTTTTGCAGTGCTGGGGACTGAACCCAGGAACATTCGACCACCAAGCTATTTTCAGACAGGGCCTAGCTAAATTGCTAAAGCTGGCCTTAAACTTGCAATCCTCCTGTCTCAAGTCTCCCAAGTCACTGGCATTACAGGTGTGTGCCATTGTGCCCAGTGTTTTAAAATCCAACTTGCTATGTAATTATGTGGCACTGTCTTCCTACATTCACATTCCCCCCTCCCCCAGCTACAGATCACTGTAGTGGGATTAGAAGAACTGAACAGGCTCTCCCAACAAGGACTTCCTGGCCTTTTCCTTAGACTGCTCTAAGAGACTATGACTCCATCCCTGCCCCTACTTTTTCCCTTGTTCCAGTGTCTCAGAGGTGTCAACCCATCAAGCACCAATGCCCACTGTAAAGAACACATGATTTATTAAAGACAACTCATCATCAACAGCACTGATTCAAAGAACAAAACACATGAAAAAAAAAAAAAAAAAAAAAAACCAGATTACCACTCTGACCCTCTGGACTGAGACCTTCTGCACTCACAGCTTAAGCTGTAGTGACCAAGGTCCTGGGGCAGCTTCCCAGTAGAAGCCTCAGGCACTCTGACTCTGGGTCTCCCTTGAGAATCTGGAGAGGAGGCATCAAGGGTAGGTCCCTTCCTCAGACAGAATCCCACTGGGGAGTTCAGCTTAACCAAGACATGTCTCTGGGCTCTTGACCTTCATCTGAAGGACAAGGAGGGCACTGGACTCAGCTTTCCCACTGAGGAAAATCAGACGCAGTGATTCAAGTAGTATGGTCCCAGGAAGGAAGCCAGGGACAAGTAGGAGGGAATGCATCGGGTGTCCTGGGCAGTGTCTGCTGGGTCCCAGGCAGTGGCCCAAGCCTCAAGTTGTGATGGGGGCAAAGCTGGGGTGGAACTAAAGCTGACAAGTTCTGGGTGAAGGGTGGCCAGGCTGGCAAGAGTACGTCTCTGCCCCATTTCCGGGGTTTCTGAATCTGGCATGGACACCAGCTATCTGGTTTCCCTACACTCAGCTCCAGTTCACAGCCATCCCAGCCAGGACCTGCTGGAAATCCAGAAGGACCCAGAAGCAGAGGAGGATGTCAATGTTGACCTTGAGAAACAAAAAGACTAGGCTTCCGACTCCTATCTTCCCAGCCCCCACCCCACCCCAAAGCACTTGCCAACCTGCAATAAATAGCCAGGAATCAGAATAAATAGGAAAGAATCTCCAGGACTGTGACGGGAGAGAAGGCGGCAAAGAGGCAAGTGCAGCAGCCCTGGCAGCCCCCGAGGCAAAAACCTGGGGAGGAGACCCTGGGCCCACAGAGCGGCCTCAGGGCAGCAGGAGGCCCTGCCTGCCAGACTCAGCAAAGCTTTGGGGGCTGCTTGGGCCAGCTCCTGGCCAGTCTGGGGAGAGGGTGAGGACCCTTGCTCTGCCCAGCCTTCCAGATCCAGACCACCTGCCCTTCTCAAAAGCTGGGAAGGGATGTGGTCAGAACACAACCCACTCCTTGCAGAACTGGGAGCAGTCAGTGGCTCCTGCTCAGGATACCCCTGCCCCAAGTCCTGGGAACATCTCAAGCAGGTGACTAGAAGGGGAGGGCCAGCACCTCCCTTGGTGTGTGGAGGACACACCAAGGTGCAGACATGGCCCCCTGACACTGACAGGATCCAATCTATATGTCCAGCTACACCAGGACCCAGGGAGGCTTCATCGGGTCCCAAATGCCCTTTATGGGACTTGTGTACACCCCTGGGTTGGGACCTGGCTGGAAGTCAAGAGGATGACAACATTTCTGAAGCACTTGGATGCCAACCCCTGTTCACAGCCACCTTAATGTCCTTTTCCTTTGAGACAGGAGGACCTTTGGGGGAACTTCTTGCAAACACCTGGGCTCCCTCTCCCGCCTCCATTCCTGGGTAGAAAACAGGGGCAAGAGAAAACATGGGCCACCATTTCTCAGCTACTTTTGGTTTCTAAGATTTCTGTTCTGGAGAGCAGGATCAGATCCCTCCAGCGAGGCACTGTGGACTCCTTCCCAGTCAGGGGGAACTGGGAGCCTCAGGTTGGGGGATGACCAAGGCCAAGGTTGACCATCAGGGGCCTTGCTGAGCCGGACTCCTCATTCTGTCTCCAGGTTTCATGGAGTGGAGGTGGGGAGAGGCTCAGGATAAGGCACCCCAAGGAAAAGGGCAGAGAAACAGTAATGGGAGAGGAACAGAGTATCACACACACCTCTAGGAACAAAGCAGAGGGAGGAGAGAAACAGAGAAGGGGAAGCAGGGAGACCTGGAGGGGCTCCAAGACACCCTCCCCACCTCCAAATGCGTGTGCACACAGAGGCAGGACACCTGGGGGATTCTGGGACACATACACCACTGGCGGCTGTGAGGAGACACACACGCTCAGTGGGAGACAAGGGGTGGCCCTAGCCTGGCAGTTGCTTAGCTCCTCTGGTGTCACTTTCCTCTCAGAGAAGCCTAAGCACCAACCCCAGAAGTGGTTTCTGGCCCATTTGCCAAGCACCTCCCCAACCAGCACCCAGGAGGAAACTGGAAGCAGGAAAGGATGGGGAGCAACAGAGCAGAGGCAGGGAGGGTCCCTTGCCAGGATCCTGTGTCCCCAAAAGAGAAACAAGTTCAGGAGCTCCATTCCTGCTCAGCAGCTTGGGCAGAGGGTCCCAGAGCTGAAGAGCAAAGAAGGTACCAGGGCTTGGTGGCCGGGAAGGAGCACAGCACAGTGCGCCCACGTGGGAGCAGCCTGGGTTGTGAGAGCAGGCCAGAAGACCTGCTGCTTCCCCTCAGGACGCTGCACATCCCAGGATCCAGAGGACAGAGGACACGTGGCTGTTCTCCCTAATCTGGGCCTCTTGCTGTCAGGCTACTTTGAGTCTTGGAGTTCCTTGGCTTTCTGTAGGATCTGGCAGACATCTGTGATGGGGTAATCCTGGACATGGGAAAGGCAACAATGTGCCCCTGAAGAGCTGCCCTTGCCACCTTGGCCACACCCATACCCTTCCCACTGGGACCTGTCACCATGCTATGGACCTCAAGGGCAGGGACCACAGAAGACCAGACACCCTGTGCATCCTGCCCAAAGTTCTGCTTGTTGCCAAGGCTACACCCATGAATTTAACCAAGCCAGTCATGACAACCCAAAGGGTCTCACAGCCGTTCCTCAGGACAGGACTGTCCAATCTCCCCTCTCCCACCTCCTGACACGGAACCCCGAGTTTCACTCGCACTGAGTGGGCTGGGGCTGGGCTGCTGGCTGTGTGGGCATCAGCTCTGAGTCCCTTCAGCAGCAACAGAGCTGTTGTGATCCTGCCGGCTTTACAGATCTAGTTAAGGACATTATTGAAAACCAAACCTAGGCCAGGCACTGGCAAAGACACTGAAGCCTAGGGAGGTTGTCACTTGTCTCAGGTCAAATGAAGACACAGCAAAACAAAATGTGAACCAAAAGCTGTATGGCCCTCAAGCCCACATCCTTAACCACCATGCTCCGCATGTCACCAGGTCTGAGCCATGTGCTGGGCACCCGCTATATTCCAGGTGTGACTAATTTATGGAGAACATGTGGTTTAGAGGCCAAGTCATTAGTTTAAGGGCCACGCCACACTTGAGGTCAGTGCTGGGCAGGGACTATGACTCAGGAGTCTGGACCCTGACCCACCACCACACTCTCCTGTCCCTGATCCCTGCCTGCATGGCAACCAGCACTGCATGGGTACTTCGCAAGTGCCTGCCTCATGGCTGAGACCAGGCTCCCTTCCAACTTGCATTACCTGCAGGAGCCGCATGTTGATGGTGAAGTCACCTTCCAGCAACTGCTCCCGGATCAGTCTAAGGAAAACAAGTAGCCAAGGTTCTGGTCCCTGGGCAGCCCAAACACAAGCCCAGCCTGAGCCTCCCGCCTCTCCCTCACCACCCACAGCATCTGACTTGGTGCTCACCAAGAGGCTTGCTCTGGTCATGAGAGGGCAGCCCCTGCCCACCCTCCAGGCAGAGGCCTCCCCTCTGTCTGTTCCCAGGAACTGGCCAGGTCATGGCCACACTCACATGAGCATGGCACAGCAGACGAGGAGAAGGAAGTCAAAGCGGTTGTCATCAGCAAAGAGGGAGTCCCAGATACGGATGACATCAGGCAGCAAGAACTCCTGGGACAGCAGCAGCGTCAGCCAGCGGAAGGCAAAGAACTGGGGCTTGATATTCTGCTCTTGCTGGGGAGACAGCGGTGGGTTGAGACACGCATCCGTGTTGGCTGACTGCCGCATACTAGCATGAGCCTAGGGGGTGAACTCCAGGGGGCAGCAGGCCAGGTCTCCAGGTTAAGGACGCAGCGGGCTGGGTGCCAGGGGCAGCAGGGGAGGGGCGCTGAGTTGCCTAGGGAACCTTGCTGTTAGGTGCAGCTGCTTCTTGCCGCCCACCAATGTTGATAGATCTTCTAATTTTCCAAGAGAATCCAGAAACATCAACTTCTCTAAGCTCTCAGACGTATAAGCGATGGCTCCAAGTCTTTTAAAACACTGTGCAAATTATCACCCTGGACTGTGGCCACACACAGCGACCACCACTGCACACTTAGCACAAGCCTGGCCAAGACTCTTCAAAGAGTATGCACATGTAGTCCACACAACAACATAAGGCACTTACTCCCTTTGAGAGATGAACCCTCTCATCAGCCACAATGAATAATATTATTATTATTTTGGTATTGAGTATGGAGCCCAGGGACACATTACGGAGTCATATCCCTTTTTATTTTGAGACAGGATCTAAGTTGCCAAGGCTAGCCTTGAACTTGAAGCCCCCTGCCTCAGCCTTCCCATTTAGAAGGGATTACAGGTCTGCCCCAGAGAATATTATTAACTGAAAAAAAGCTTGCTGTTAAATAGCAAAAATGGCAATCTGTATTATATTTTTTTCACAAAACTATTTCATTTACATATAAATATATCTTCTGTTTTCTGAACTGCTTTTTGAAATAAACAGGTCACGCCATCATAGTTTTTTTTGTTTTTTTTTAAATGAAGTTAATGCTTTCTAACTCACTCAGACCTCACTACCTCAGTGCACTGTGCCTGGCACCCAGGGCACTGTTCTCAACTCCCCCTCCCTCCCAGCCTGCCAGGCTCCTACTATCTGGGCCTGGACTCCTCCACCTGTCTCAGGATGTGGGTCAGCATTCCCTAGCACATGGGCCAGCACCCCCAGGACGGAGGCCAGCATCCCAAGCATGTGGGCCACTGTTCCCCAGCAGCAGCAGCAACAGCCACTTTCAACCCCCAGACTCAAGCCAGACCTCACCTGGGGCCAGGGCACTCAGGAACCTCCACCCCTTTCCACCTGTCTTCCCTGGCCTGTGTGATCCAGGGGGACCTCACCAGTTTTAGATAGAGTTCCACATCTTTATCCTTCAAGGTGGAGTACACCTTTTCCATCTTGTAGGTGATACCACACTGCGAATCATCCAGGCTCTTGATGAAGTTGTCCCGGATCTCGGCCATGAGGTTGGTGAAACAGAAGAAGGTGTCTGCCTCAGCATGCTCTGGGAGAGACGCAGGGTGTGAGCAGGTGTGTGGGGAGAGAGGTGCTCTCAAGTCCAAAGTGATCTCTCATCCCAGGACATCACCCCAACCTCTAAGCCTCGCCATGGTTGGGATGAGTCCTTCCTCTGTCCTTGGCCACTGTCCGCCCCACCTAAGAACATTACCACTTTCTTCTCACATCTTCTGGCAATACTGTCCATTCAGCAATTTATTACATGCCCTCCTGATGACAGTATTCAAATCATCATTTAAATCTTACCATTCATCTTTCCACATATACATTCCATCTCTTATTTTCTTAACCAGAAATTAAGTTATAAGTGTCAAGATGTCAGTAAACATCAATATTCTAGAAGGCAGAGCTGGAAAGGCTCCTAAAGATGATCCCAGCCAACCCTTCATTTGACAGACGGAGAATGGAGGCCCAAGCGGGGACATGGCTTCTCAGCCTGCTCTGGCCCATTGGCCTGGCTTGCCTTGGTCCCTTTTCTAGGGAGCCAGCAATGGGATGTGGGCAGCCAAGAGTCAGTCTACCTTTCCATTCGCTGTTGGGATCCGTGGCAAAGGTGTAGTAGAGGGGCCCCACAATCTCATTCATGCCCTGCACGTAAGCGATGCCAGGGTTGAGCTTGGCATAGATGAACAGAATGCGCTCCACCACCTCCCAGTGGGCCTCACAGCCATTGGGCAGCACCTCGTACTCATCCAGGGATGGCGGCACAGAGTTCTTGTGGGGGGAGCTCATCTGGGGAGAAGAGGAGGGAGGGGTCAGCTAAGCAGGATAAGGTTTGCCATTTGGCCCATATTTTATTTCCAGCTCATGGGAAAGATAGGCCATTGGAAGAACGGATCAAACACCACCACAAGGATCAAGCAGGCAAGACCAGAATATGAGACGTTCTACAAAACACTTGGGTTAAAATCTAATTTTTGGTGCTAAGCACATGAGAAGCAGTTACCTCTGAGGTGAGGGGTACTGACGGGAAAGGAACAAGGAGGACCTTGCTGGACGATGGGCACCTTCTACATCTTGATCAATTGGTAGTTACACAAAAGGAACCATAAAAAAGAAATCTGATTGTGTATTTAAAATTTGTGCATTAACGTCACATAAGTTACATTTTAACTTTAAATACATATACATCAAAAATAGATGACTGGCCAAGACTCTTCAAAGAGTAAGCTGGTGGGGGTGGGCGGAGCTGTTCCAAGTCATGGGACTAAAGAAACAAAACATCCCAAGGCAAGGAGCAGCCGGTGGAGCTTGGTGATGTGGAGCTTGGTGATGCAGCACGCGCCCAGCATGCACGATACTCTGGGTTTCATCCACAGTACTGCAAAAATGATAATCAGTAATAATACAAGGCATAAGTCTTTCTTGGATCCTGGTTTGGAATAGAATATAATTACTCCAGACACAACAGAGGACACCGGGTTGCTCTCAACTGCAAGTGGACTGGGTATCAGTGAGACTTTGGAATGAACCCTCTAGCAGTAGGTAGGAGGAGGCCCTTTTCCTTGGGAGGCCTGCTGAGATATCTGCGGTATGGGTCAGGTTCCTGCAGCTCTTTCTAGAATGCACACACAGGTAAAACAACATGAGGAAAGGCCAAGTACTGCTGTGCTCGGGAAGCACACAGGCATGCATCACACCCTCTATTCAACACCTCTGCATGTCTGCAAATCTTCAACAGGAAAGGTTGGAAGACAGAAGGATGATCCCACTAAAGACTCATGCCAGAGACCCGGGGTCCCCAACCCAGGATCCCTAGAGAATTTGTGATGCCCAGGCTCTGCCCTGCACCTGCTCAATCAGAAGCTCCAGGGTGGGGCCTACAGGAGAGAACCCAGGCAGAGCCCATACATGAAGCCACCAGGAAGCACAGTGATCCAGGCATATGAAACTCCTGTGTCCACTATCAACACACATAGGTATGCACATACACGCAGGCTGCACACCTCGGTAACACTCACTCAGTCTTCTCTGTGCCAGACAGTGCTATATGTTCTTCCTCCATTTCATCTCCTTATTGACTAGAATCTTCCTTCAACATCATTTTCAACATGAGGAAACTGAGGCTCAGAAATCTTCAACCACTCATCAAATGTCTCCCATTAAGCGGTGCTCCTGAGACTTGACCTTACACTGGCTCACTCTCTGCAGGCCAGGCCTCCAGGACAGGCTGTGTCTTGAGGATGCTCAGTGCTCCCCAGCTTTCCAAGAATTGGCACTGCCATGACCTTGTTGCACCTTCCTGGCAATCCCCCAGCCAGGCAGGGCAGAAATGACTATGTCCAGTCTGGGGAACAGGAAAGAGATGCCCTGAACAAGAGCCTGGAATCATTTGGCCAGAGTCACACAGCTGGTCAACTTTAACTCTCATGCCCAGCCAGAGGCCTAGGGATGAAGCTATAGGAGGGAGGAGCTCTGCCACCAGGACCAGGTCCAAAAGTTAAAATGTTTAAGGCTCAGCTCTCAAACCCTGCTTATGACAGTGAAAGGAGTGACTGGAGCATGTCCCTTCAGCCAGGAAATCAGCAGCCAAGCAAGGGGGCTGCTTACAAACTGAGTCACATGGGGACTTAATCAAGCCTCTGGCCCCTCACAAAATTCTGCCAGATCCCAACCCTATCATAGGCACGTGGAACCTGGATCACCTGGCTCTGGCCTCGCCCATCAGTTCTTCTATCAAAATCAGTCCCTAGGGGAACACAAGCTTCTATGGTTGTAACCATTTTTAGCTGGTTAAGGTTACAGAGAAGGATTTTTTTAAACTTTAATTTTTATTTATTTATTTTATGTGGTGCTGAGGATCAAACCCAGTGCCTCACACATGCTAGGCAAGCGCTTTGCCACTAAGCCACAACTCCAGCCCCCAAAGGAGGGTTTTTCCACTGATGGAGGACAATGACAGGTTTTGGAGAAAAGCCACAGCTCTGAGTACTGAAGCATGACTATAACTGGAGGAAGAGGCAATGCACTTGTTTAGCTACAAGCAGCTTCTCAGTGACCACAATCTGTCAGATTCTGGGGTTCAAACCTCAGCATGGCTGTTTCAGTATAAATTCTGTTAATTTGGCCTCCTGAGTCTCTGAGATCTATCCCAGCCCAGCCCAGCCCCTTCCACTCTTGCTGGGATGACAGCAGACAGCTCCCAGGCAGCCTCCCAGCACCCACAGCTATCCGTCACCAAAGCAGACCTCTTGCTCACCTCCTGTTCAGCATGCTGCAGGGCTCCCAGCCCCTAAACCAAGACCCTGTGTGGCATCGCCACCCTGACCTTTCCTGCATCCTCCAGCACCTTCTCTCTCGCCTCTCTGCCTCTAGCCACACAGGACCCCGCCATTCCTTGAACACCATGCTCTCTCCTTGAACACAAGCCCTCCTGTCCACCTGAACACTTTCTCCTTCATCTTTCCAGCCTCAGCTTAAAAGTCACTTCCTCAGAGAAGGCTTCTCTTGACACCAGCCCTAATCAGCTCCCACCACCCCAGCCCTGCTCCTGTCACACTTTCTCACATCTGTGACTACTGTCAGTCCTCTCCACCTAAGACTAGAAACGGGGTCTGATCATTGGCATCAGACCCTTCACTGCCAGCCAGAAGCCCAGATCATATGCAACGAGCCAGTTTTTGGAGAAAACTAAGCTTCAGAAAGCACCCAGAAGTGGGTCTGGCAGGACCAAGGTTACTTTAGGTGACTATCAGGGCAGATGGTCATGGGCCCAATGACTGTGGCTAGTGGCCCAAGGGAAACAGGAAGGGAAAGGATGTCAGAGGAGTTTGGGAGCCCCAGTGAGTACTCACATTTGTGACCCCGCTCCGGTTCCGGGCCACTGTCTGGGATTTCAGTGTTGTCTGTTCCACCCGCTTACGAAGGGTCTCAAACTCATTTTGAGGGTCCAGGATGAGGAGACAGGGGTATTCAGTGGCCCTCTGGAAGAAGGATATGTCTGGGCACAACCTCCTGTCAAGAGGGAACAGGAGAGGGCTGGGGTTGTGGCTCAGTGGCAGAATGCTTGCCTAGCATGCATGAGGCACTGGGTTCGATCCTCAGCACCACATAAAAATAAACAAATAAAATAAAGGTATTCTGTCCATCTAGAACTACAGAAAAAAAAAATTTTTAAATAAAGAAAAAAGGGTGGGAGCTAGGGTTGTGGCTCAGCGGTAGAGCACTTGCTTACCATGGCCCTGAGTTGGATCCTCAGCACCACATAAAAATAAGTAAATTAATTAAAGATATTGTATCCAACTACAACTAAAAAATAAATATTTTTTAAAAAATAAATTAAAAAAAAAAAATAGAAGGAACAGGAGAGCATGCTGCTCCTATGGCCATTCCAATAGAACCTGCTGCCAGGGGCCCAGCATTCCCAGGACATTTTTTGTTGCTATTGTTTTGATACTGGAGACTGAACCCAGAGGGACTGAGCCACATCCTCAGCCCTTTTTACTTTTTATTTTGAGACAGGGTCTCACTAAGTTACCTAGGGCTTCACTAAGTTGCTGAAGCTGGCCTAGAATTTGTGATCCTCCTGCCTCAGCCTCCTGAGTTGCTGGGATTATAGGCATGTGCCACTGTGCCTGACCTCAATTTTGTTTGCTATAAAATTATAACATTTTATCTAAAAAAAAATGTTTTTTTTAAAAAGCAAGTTTGGGGCTGGGGTTGTGGCTCAGCAGTAGAGTGCTCTTCTCGCACACGCGAGACCCTGGGTTCAATCCTCAGCACCACGTAAAAAATAAATGAGTGAAATAAAGGTACTGTGTCCAACTACAACTATAAAATAAATATTACAAAAAGCAAGTCCACTACACATGTTCATATACCCATTTTTGTATGTATTTGTAAAAAGATACATATAACCTTTTTACAGACACATAACACCTTTGTGTGTGTGTGTGTGTGTGTATGTATTGCACTGTGGATTGAACCCAGAGCCTTGTGCATGTGAGACAAGCACTCTACAAACTGAGCTATATCCCCAGCCCCGATATATATATATATATACATTTTTTTTTTAAGTGTCTTTATGGTCATACAACCTAACTTTTCTCTTTTTTGCAGTACTGGAGATTGAACTGGGTGCTCAACCATTGAGCTACATCCCTAGCTTTTTCAAATTTTATTTTAGACAAGAGGCTGGCCTCAAATTTGTTATTTTCTTGCCTTAGTCCCCCGAGTAGCTGGGATTACTAGACATGTGCACCACTGTGTCTGACTTTTTCAGACTTCTTATGCATGCTACATTACAAATCTGCTTTCGAGAAACATGGAACAACATACTACAATTACCCACAGTGTGAGCAGAACCCCGTTCCTCCCCCAGAACCACAAAATGCAGCTCTTAACCTGGCCATTAGAACACCTGAGGGTACAGTATTGTCAGCCTAAGAACAAAGACAAGAGACCCTTTCTCTGCAGCCACCTTGCTCAGAGGGGTATCACCAAGGGTGACAGCAGCAGGACCTTTCCTCCTGACTTCACCCCACCACAACCTTCTTCCCAAGCCGTGGGCCATTCTTACAAGCTGTCCCTCAGCCCAGGAGGTTCTTCCAACAGCTCTGGGCCTCCTGTCCTTCCTCTTCCTTCCAGTCTCATGCTGAATCACCTCCTCTAAAATAAGGGCCCCTCTTACTCTCTCAAGAGCACAGTTGTTTTTTTTTCCCCCTTCCTTCACAGCATTCACAGTGTTTGCAATGATGTATCTGTTGAACATCTGCCTCCTCTCAGAAACTGGAAGACCCCTGCTGTCTTTTTTACCCCTAACCCCTACTCACACAGGCACTGAAGGAAGGCACACCTAGCCTGTGTCAGAATAGACTAATGAGGGGATCCAAGGCTGTTCTTTGGAAATACTGAAGGGTCACTGTGCAGGACAGAGATTGTCGTGTCTGACCAGGGACAGAACACCAGGAGAGGACTCAGGCAGGCTACTGTGAAGGGAACAGGCTCCTGGGACCTTCTCAAATGTCTGATCTGATGTTTCTAAGGGACTCTCTCAGCTGTGCTAAGACCAGCATAACACTCTTATTTATCTGTGGTGCTCCCAGGCCCCCTCAATGTTCTTTTTTTTTTTTTTTTTTAAAGAGAGAGAGAGAGAGAGAGAGAATTTTTTAATATTTATTTTTTAGTTGGTGGACACAACATCTTTGTTTTGTATGTGGTGCTGAGGATCGAACCCGGGCCGCACGCATGCCAGGTGAGCGCGCTACCGCTTGAGCCACATCCCCAGCCCCCCCTCAATGTTCTGAACCTAATCCATCTCACTCCTTCACAGATAAGTAATGTTCAGAGAGCCTAAATCACTTGCTCAAGGTCACCAAGTAACAATCAGCAAAGCTGTAATGGAAACCAGACAGAGACTCCAGAGTGCTTGACCACCCCACTGCTCCAAGACAAACCTCCCTTCCACCCCTCCCCTAGCCTCCCGGGAGATTCCACACACTGCCAGACTCCCCAGCCCAAGAGCATAGCAGAGACAGCCTTCTTCATCAAGTGAAAAATGCAAACCATTGTAGCTCACAATTTTTTAAAAATACATGCCTGAACTTGTCATTCCCTTGCTTAAAACCTCCGTACCACAACTACCCCGTGACCTTGGGACCAAGTCTGAGGTCATCCCTGCCTCCCACAATAGCCTTGGCATGGCTCCTCAGATGTGCCCAGCTCCATGGGCTCTCAAGGCCCTCCCAGGAAGCTTCAGCCTACAGTGGCCTCTCTCACACTCTCTCCCCGAGGTCCCCACTCCCTGAATCTCTGCTGGAACACTGCTCTCTCAGACAAGGCTTCCCCAAAGCCCCAGGCCTCCAGCTTCTCCCTCAGAGCACTCACAGGTGCTAATGGCACGTACCATCTAATTGGTGAAAAGTCTGCCTGGACATCTTCCCCTCTAGCTTCAAAGCTCCTTCTATGAACAGGAGCTGTGTCTGCCTATTTATTCAGTGCTCAATCCTGAGTATAACCCTGAGCCTGACCCTCAGGAAGGGCTCAATAATTATGGAATGAATGATGAATCCCCAAACACCTGGGTACAAATGAAACCAGGCATGGATAAGGAGAGCCAGTGCATGTAGGCACAGATGCCCACCCCCTTGTGCCCACAGCCTGGACCCACCCTTAGGAAAGTACGCCAGCAGCTCCTCAAACACCCACCCTGAGGGCATGGGTGGACAAGGAAAGGCCTGGGTGTGGTGGCACACACCAGTGATTCAAGCCACTCAGGAGACTAAGGCAGAAGAACTGCAAGGTAAAGTCTAGACTCAGCAACTCAGTGAGACCCTGTCTCAAAATAAAAAATAAAAAGAGCTAGGGGTATAGCTCAGTGGTTGAGTTTCTCTGGACTCAATCCCCATACTACAAAAAAAAAAAAAAAAAAAGGGAAAGCACAGAACAAAAGAAACCCTTGGAAGGCTGCTAAGCCAGCTGCCAGCCACTACATGCCTCTTACCGGACATCTTTGTCGATCTGCAGCAGTACCTCATTGTCCTTGAAGTATGTGTTCCACCGGCTGTCGGGGCTGGGGTTGAGGGGCTGTGGGAGACAAGCAGCTGCTCTGTCCAAGGCCCAGTCAGGGAGGTCCCAGCCTGGAGACCTGAGCAGTGGCCTCACAATCCTCCACAGCCTCAGTTGTGGCCAGGCAGCAGCCTGAGGACCACTAAGAGGACAGAGCACAGGCCTCAGACCATGTTCAAACTGCACAGCTGCCAGTGAACCTGTGGTCATCTCTGCTTGGCAGAAACTGTTATTTCTGTCCACCACCCCAGTTGCAGAACTCTGCATTCAACAGGTGCTCCTAAAGGTCTGCTGCATGGTTGAATGAATGAATGAATGTTGGATCATTAGGCTTCTTTGAATTTCATTTACTCCTCTGAGCTATCAACTCCCTCCCTTGGAGGATAGGCCCAAGACCAGGCCATCTGCACTTTCTGCACTGTGAAGCACCCAGGAAGCAGCTCAGTATTGGAGAACGGAGCTTCCTCCAGGCCAGACACGCAGCTTACCCTCACTTCTGCCCTGCTCTGCTTCCTTCAACCAAGCAATCACAGGACCCTCCTCAAAGAATCGGAATGAGGGCTGAGCTGCAGCAACGGGCGCAGGGCTGCACCAACGGGCGCAGGGCTGCACCGACAGCACTCTTGGGATACTGGTTCTTGTCTATGTTACTGACTAGGCCAGGCCATTTGGTTGGGCAGGGAGAGACAATACCTGTCAGGCTGGCAACACAATGCAGAGAGGAGGAATTGGCAAGGCCAGAGGGGACCCAGGCCAGGCTGCATTTATCCTCTGACAAGGAAGATCTTCATGGCTCCAAATCCCCTCCCCACCCCATTAAACAGCCTCAGTCCCTGTTGCCAACCCCTATACTCACATGGTCCTCAAAGGTCACATCCTCCCTGGATACACCCATGTTGGCCTTGGCAATGCCAGGCTGTATGATCATTTCCCTCAGGAACTGAGAATATAGCTCCCTTCAGGAGAAAAGAGGAGAGAGGGATGACTCCTGAAGGTCTTGCCCAGGGAACCCAGACCAGAGAAGCAGTAGAGGAGGCAGGACAATCTTGGCAACGCTAGTCCTCTCTGATCAAAAGCCCTAGCGTCGTTACCCTTTCATGGGTCCTACCTCTGCTTGGCCAGGATGGAAGTCCATGCGGCTCTCTCCAGGGGGAGGTAGTTCAACAAGATCTGCAAAGAGGGGCACAGCTCTGAGGACCCCTGTCCCAAGCCTGAACAGCAGATAGAAGCAGATGAGCCTCAAAAAAGGCCTCATGAATGGGCTGGGGAAGTGGCTCAGTGGCAGAGCACTTCCTAGCATGTGCGATGCCTTGGGTTCCATCCCCAGCACCACACAAAAAAAGAAAGGTTTTTTTTTTTTTTTTTTCTTTTTTGGTGGTATGGGGATGGAACCCAGTGCCTTGTACACACAAGGCAAGCACTCTACCAACTGAGCTATATCCCCAGCCCCCAAAACAAAGTCTTCACAAAGCCCAGAGCAGATCAGATGACTACCCAGGAACGCAGACCTGAGCCTCCCTTTCCTCCCCGCTGCCTCCTCCTCCTTTACCCCTAAGTACCTTTTCCTCTGCTTTTCCTCACATTGATTCTTCCAAATCATAATAAAACAAGGTGCTCAAAGGGGCTGGAAACCAGGATACTGAGCTTCCACCAACATGTCTGCTAACAGTTTCAGGCACAATACAGCCTTTGTTTTGTCCCAGTAAGCACCACTTTGGCTGTGCCATATGTGCCAGAAGAAAGGGCCTTTACTGGCATTACAAAGTGGATCTTCCCCAAGGCGATGCTGGAGGAGATGCCAAGGACAGGAAACCCAGAACTTCCCAGAAAAGCTTCCTCAGACAAGCAAGGAAAGGTGCAGAATAGGAGGAAGGGGCCAAGGGTGGGGATAGCCCATGCAGGAACCCAGGGACTCTGAGTAGAGCAGTAGCCCCACCCCAGGCACACCCACCTTCCAGCAGAGGCACCGCAGTCCGCCCTCACAGGGGATGCCTGTGGACACAGCAGGCAAAGGTCACCCCAGGCCAGATTCCCAGACCCCCCAGCCATCCACCTTGGAGCCAGTTGGCAGGGAACAGAGTGGGCAAGAAGTACTTCTTCAAGAATCATGTCCACAAGATCACTAAGCTAAACGCTCACTCTCCAGTTTCTGTCCATGGCCCCAGCCCTCAGCCCAGAGATCCCTGTCTGGGATGCTCTTTTAAGGAAGACACCTTCTCATCCTTGATCTTTCTTCCTCAGGGGAGCCATTACCAAGCACTAACTCTACCCAGTCAAATCGTTATATATAAACAACAATGGCTCTGTGACTTCTTCATAGCATCCATCACAACTGAAATTATGTAATTTGTTTTTTAGTTCTGATATTAGAAATTGAACCCAGGGGTACTTTACCAATAAGTTACACCCCCAGTCTTTTCACTTTTTGAGACAAAATCTCTTTAAGTTGCCGAGGGTGACCTCAAACTTGTGAGCCTCCTGTAAACAGGCATGCATCACCACACCTGGCTACTTTGTATATTTTAGTATATGTAACTCCTACTACTGGGAAGCCTCAGAAAGACAAGAACCACATTTGTTTATTATTCTCAGTGCCTAGAGAAGGGCCTGTCACACAGAAGGTATTCAATAAGCACTTGTGGAACACAAACTAAGCTATGGGGCTAGGTACTTTGTACTTTACAGACATCATTTCATGTAACACTTATTATACCCCCAGAAAGGAAGAAAGATTAGCATCATCATCCTCTTTCTCCCCGCACCTCCCCAGTACTGGGGATTGAACCTGGGGCACTTTACCATTGAGCTATCCCCCCAGTCCTTTGTATTTTTAATTTTGAGAGGTTACTGAGGCTGGTCTCAAACTTAGGATCCTCCTGCCTCAGCTTTCTGAGTAGCTAGGATTACAAGTATGCATTACTACACCTGACTCATTCTTATCTTACTGATTAGGAAACTTATCTGGAAAGACACAGCAATCAAGGACCTGAACACAGGTCTGACTCTAGAACCCAAACTCTTTATCATCACCAGGACTGCCTCCCCTTTGGTGCCTAAGTCCCATTGCAGAAAGACCAACTGCTCCTGTAATGGTGTCAGAAACCTCACAAGAGCAGATGTTGTGATGGTTTCCCTGATACTGTGAACATGAGCAAATGCCCTATAGATTCTGAATCGACATGAGCATATACTTCTTGCTGTCAAATTTACAGGGACAGGGCTGGGGTTGTGGCTCAGTGGTAAGCACTTGCCTAACATGTGTGAGGCACTGGGTTCAATTCTCAGCACCACATACAAATATATGAATAAAATAAAAGTCCATCAATGTCTAAAAAATAATTTTAAAAAATTTACAGGGACAGGACAATGACAATCTATATGAAGACCATGGGATATTTTTAAAGGTGGGAAAAAGCAGGTGATCTCTATGCTGAAAGATTAACCATGCTGGAGAGGGCAAAGTCAAACATAGCCAAGTTTTACCTCCTGTTACTGTACCAAGGCTGGAATTTTACCATTAACCAAAGTTCACTGTCTCCTTAGTCAGCTTTGATCCTAAGCCTGAGAACCTGGAACCACCTTATAGCTAACCAAATTCCCAACCACAGAAGCCATCTGAGGAGTGAGGAAAAGCCAAACTAAGGTTCAAAAATTTCCCCACTCTCATCCTCCCATTTCTTATTTATTTATTTATTTATGGTTCTAGTGATTTAACCCATGGGTGATTTATCACTGAGCTACATCCCCAGCCCTTTTTATTTTTTATCTTGAGACAGGGTCTCACTAAGTTGTCTAGGGCCTTGCTAAGTTAGGGAGGCTGGTCTTGAAATCGTGATCCTCCTGCCTCAGCCTCCTAAGTCACTGGGACTATAGGCGTGAGCCACCACACCAGACTTCATCCTTCCATTCAATTCTCTCCAGTGACTCCCAGGAACATAGGCCTCCCTATCTAAGGCTTAACTGTAGCTACCAGTCCTCTGGGTAACTTCTTTTGAGATCAGGACACTGCTACACAATCTGTAGAAGGCCCCAAGAGTCAGGCCAGAACTGACCAGATGTGGCTTTGGATGCCTTCCCCTCCACTTTAGCCATAAGACTGTTGTAGAGAAGGACTGAAAGTGCAGGGTTGCCGCTTACCACTAAAACTGAGTTCACGCAGCTTTTCCAATGCAATTGAAGGCTCCTTCAGGACATCCTGAAAATCTGCAATCCTAGAAGGGGATAGAAGGAGGCAAATTTAGCACACTCAAACCCCAAGGTGCTGACTTAGTCACCAAGCCTGCAGCCCACAGTTTCCTTACACTGACCAGTCTCCAAGCTATAAACCACTTCTTCCTCTGACCCCAGAAACAGAATGCCAGTGAAGAGACTTGAGAGATATTCTTCTCTAGAGCTTATCAAAAAAGCACCACGAAATTAAGTAAGCACTTTCTAATGTTTAGTGAAGTGGCATTTGCTGGGCACTTCCTGATGACCAGGCCCCGTCCACAGCAAGGCCACTACCTGAATTCAACCAACTCTAGGAACCCGGAGTAACCTGATCTGCAGACAACGGACCTGTGCAATCTGCCCGGAGTTCTTCACGCTCAAAAACATAACCATTACAAGATCTCTGAGCCTGCCCTCAGGCAAGGACAAAAGGTTTAAAAAGTCCAGGAGGAAAACTGAAGAGTGAGCAAAATTTAGCCAATGCTTCAGAATTCTGCCTAGAGGAGAAGATAGACGGCAGAATCAGGGTTTCCTAGTATTTCTAGCAAGAAAAGGACAAGAGGGACAGGGCGCATTTGGAGAACCAAGTACTGGGGCAGAAGGCTAGAAAGGGGGAAGGGGCGCAGGATGTGAGATCTGGATGAGGAAGACCCAGGTGAAGGCGTCCAGGGGGGAGGAGAGAAGGGTGCAGGGGGGCAACCCGGCGACTGCGCGGCGCGTCTCCTCCGGCCCACGGGCAATGAGGTTAAAAAGTGGGCGCCCGAGACCCTCTGCCCCGGGACCCCGATTCCTAGCCGCACACACGCCGACCCGCTAGCGGGGAAGAAAGGGCGGCTCGGCCAGGAGCGGCCGGCCCAGTCGGCCCCCCAGTGGCCTCTTACCGGCTCTTGTGCAGACTAGACATGGTGTTGACTTCTGGACCCCCCAGCTGCCTCCGCAGCCTCAGCCGCCGCCGCCCCCCAGGGACGCGGGGCGCTGGGTGAGAGCCTCCGGCCGGAAACTGAGCCACAGCCGCGCGCGTTCCGCTCAGCCCGGTCCCGCTGGCCCCGCCCCGCCGGTCACGTGCCTCACTTCGCCGTTCCGCCAGGAGAGGGCGCCCGGAGCCCTCGGCCCAGCTCCCCGCCCCCTGGACCTTGCGGACAGAAGCGAGGACACCAACGCAGACTGCCTCCCTGGTCTGTTCCTTGAGCTCGCCTGGGCCTCAGTTTCTATCTACGCAGTACCTGTCAGCCTGTCTTCTTCCTTACAATTTAACGACTGCATGATTGTTTCCTGGACATCAGCCTATGCTGCTGATCTGGGCAGACCCCCTGTTTGCCTTACTAAGTATCCAGTCCTATAAGCAGTGGCGCTCAGAGACCAGGTACTGATCAGTACAGGAAAGAGGAGTAAGACTACGATTCAGTGTTTTCCTTGACTTTGGGATTTCATGAATAGCAGAATTTCTGTTATTGAACCACATATTAGGAACAATAGAAAAGGGAAAGATTTCAGAAATCCTTCCCGAGTGGGCTGGGGTTGTAGTGGTAGGTAGAGCGCTTACCTAGCAAGTGCAAAGGTACTGGGTTTGATCCACAGCACCACATGAAAATAAATAAATAAAATAAAGATATTGTGTCCACCTACAACTAAAAAGAAAAAAAGAAAGAAAGAAAAACAATTTTTAAAAAATCTTTTTCAAAAAAAGATGCAGGCAGCCTTAGCAAGATTTTCTCTACACAGGCATGTGAAGATTCACAAACGTCCTCGTTTTTTTAAAATTTCTTCACAAATTGGTAAAAACTTTAACACTGAACTATATAATTTCTAAACTCCTTTTAGCTCTCACACTACGATTTCACCGCCCAATAGACCAGGCACATAAATATCTGTTCCTTTATTCACTCATTCCACAAAAAATTTCTGCTCACACTGTGTGCTAGGCCCCATACAATCATTTCTCAGTATAGAGATGATATATAAAATGGCAAACCATTTGCATATAAGCTACCCAGATTTCTCTGTATACTTAAAATCCTCTTTAGTGTTGGGGGTATAGCTCAGTGGTAGAGCACATACCTAGCATGCCCAAGGCCCTGGGTTTAATCCCCAGCACTGTACAAAAAAAAAAAAAAAGGAAAAAATATCTTTAGATTATTTATATCAAATACAATGCAGCTACTATGTAAATAGTTGCTGTACCATATTCTTTAAGGAATGAGGACAAGAAAAAAGTCTGCCACATGTTCAGAACACACAGTTTTTCCAAATACTTCTGGTCCAGGTTTAGATGAATTCACAATGTAAAACCTATAGATATGAAGAACCAACTGTACTAAATATTTCTGCAACATACAAGATTAAGTTCCTCTGTATAATTATATATATATATATATATATATATATATATATATATATATATATATATATATATATTTGGTTCTAGTGATTTAACCCAGGGGTGATTTATCACTGAGCTACATCCTCAGCCCTTTTTATTTTTTATCTTGAGACAGGATCTCACTAAGTTGTCTAGGGCCTTGCTAAGTTAGGAAGGCTGGTCTTGAAATTGTGATCCTCCTGCCTCAGAAGAAGGTAGGAGGGGATATATATATATATATATATATATATATATATATATATAATTGAAACCAGGCATGGTGGCACACAACTGTAATCCCACTTACTTGGGAGACTGAGGCAAGAAGATCTCAGGTTTGAGAATGTAATGCAATGTAGAAAGCCTCTGTCTCAAAAAGAACTGGGGACAGCTCAGTGGTAAATCACCCCCTGGCTTCAATCCCCAATACTAAAAACCAACCAAACAAAAAACAGCTGGCCCTTTAAAGACAAAGGGAAAAAAATCACATAAATGATAACATAATAAAAATATGGACAAGGGCTAAGAATGTGAGTCAGTTGTAGAGTGCTTCCCTGGCATGCATGAGAACCTGGGTTCAATCCCTGGCACCACAACCAAAACAAAAATATGGACAAGGCAGGCATGGAGGCACAATCTTGTAATCTCATCTACTGGGGAGTCTGTGATAGGAGGATCACATTATCTCAAAATAAAAATTAAAGCGGGCTTTATGTAGTTCAATGATAGAAAGTCCCTAAATTAAATTTCCAGTATCACAGATAAAATTCAGACAGTTGGCTATCACTTAAAAAAAAAATAGAGCTAGGAAGTATTCAATGAAAGAGTGCTCTCCTGGCATAAGTGAACCCTGAATTCAATTTCCAGCATTGCAAAAAAAAGGGAGGTGTTTGATATCCTAGAAAGATATGCTAGATGAGATAAAGCTTGGCATTGGGAAAATCTATATCATTAGAAGAAAAATATATACAAAACTTATATCACAGTCTTAGTAAAGGAAGATACAAAGCCCCAAAGTCATGAAATATAAGACAGCTATGTCACCACAAAAAAGTTTAAATTTTTGTGTAGAAAGCAAATGAGAAATATCAATAAAGAAAATATTTGCATCTTTAGACAAAAGGTTCATGCCTATAACACATAAAGAAAACTTACATCAACAAGCACCTCCATAGGAAAGGAAAAAAAGCAAGAATTTATTTTTTCACAAAGTCTATTTCTACGGTGTGCCAGACATATGATAGGTATTGAGTATTTAGTAGAAAACAAAATAGAATAAATCCCTGTCCATGAAGCTTGACATGTTAGTGTGAGGACATAGGTGTAAAATATGATAAATTAGAAAACTGAATAGTGTGACAGATGGTAATAAATACTACCAAGAAAAATTAAGGAATAAGTTGTGGGAGTTGTGAGAGCCAGAATGTTCTCCAAAGTGATGGCTAAGCCAACACCTGAGGAGAAAAGTCAGCAAAACCCATGAACAGGTATGTCAAAGAAGGCATAAAAATGTCCCTCCAAAACCAACCCAATGCAACATTAAATTAGACAACAAGCCAGACAGGGTGACGTGCCCTGTGGTTCTAGCTACTCAGGAGGCTGAGGCAAGAGTTCAAATCCAGCCTGGGCAACATAGTGAGACTCTGTCTCAAAAAAAAAAAAAAAAAAAAGAACTACTTACTTATTCATTCAGTGGGTAATTGAGTAACAACATTGAGTCTTCCAGATTGGTAAAAGTAATCAATGTTTATTACATCTACCATTAGTGGGGGCACCCTAAGGCCCTTTTTATTAAAAAAAAAATATATATATATATATATATATATATATATATATTGAACCCTGGGCTTCCATGCTAAGAAAATGCCCTACCACTGAGTTATGTCTCCAGTCCCCCTTTTTGACTATTTTGAGAGGTCTCTCTACATTGCCTAGGCTGGTCTTGAATGTGTAATCCTCCTGCCTCAGTCTCCCCAGGGGCTAGGATTACAGATGTGTGCCACCACACCCAGCTTACACCATGTACTGTAGTTTTTATTTTTATTCATTTATATTTTTTTGCAGAATTAGGAATTGAACCCAGGACCCTGCACATACTAGACAAAAACTGCCATTGAACTATATCCCCAGCTTTTTTTTTCTTTTTAAGTACTCCTTTTAATCTGGTGCCTGTCACTCAGCATCACTTTTTTTTCTTTTCTTTCTTTCTTTTTTTTTTATTTTAGCTGTAGATGGACTCAATACCTTTGTTTTATTTTTCTTATATGTTGTGGGGGAATTGAACCCAGGTCCTCGCATGTGCTAGGCAAGTGCTCTACCACTGAGCTACAGCCCCAGCCCCAGCATCACTGTTTTGAGATTTATATACACCATAGCATGTGTCAGCACTTCGTTCCTTTTATTGCTGTATAGATTTCATTACATGAATACAGTGTAGCTTATCCTGTCATAGTTTATCAACTATTGGTAGATATTTGGGTTGTTTCCAGTTTTGATCTATTACAAATAAAGCTGCCACAAACATTTGTGTACAAGTCTTTTTCTGAGTCATTTTTTGCAGTGCCAGAGGTGGAACCCAGGGCCTTGGGCATGTTAGACAAGTGCTTTTTTTTTTGGGGGGGGGGGGCGTGGGTACTAGGGATTGAACTCAAGGGAACTCCACCATTGAGCCACATCCCCAGCCCTGTTTTGTATTTTATTTAGAGACAGGGTCTCACTGAGCTACTTACTGCCTTGCTTTTGCTGAGGTTGGCTTTGAATTCATGATACTCTTGCCTCAGCCTCCTAAACCACTGGGTTTACAGGGGAGCGCCCAAAGGTCAGTCTTTTTAATTTGGACATTCTAGTAGGTGTGTAGCTATATTTTATGTTTGGCTTTTTTGTTCTATTTTGTTTTGCTTTTGGTGCTGGGGATCAAACTCAGGGCCTCAAGCTTGCTAAGCACATGCTGTACCACTAAGCCACACCTTCAGCCTCATATTCCTCTTTGTCAACAATGTTTTGGCCTCTATATTTGGTCCTTTGCATTCTATATTAACTTTAGAATCAGTTTATTGGATGAGGGGGGGAATTCTGCTGGTATTTTCACTGCAATTGCATTGAATCTATAGATCAATTTGGAAATAATTAATATCATAATATTATTGACTCATCTGATCCATGGACATTATATATCTTCACATAAATTTAGAACCTTAATTTCTCTCAACAATACTTTTTAGTTCTCAGTTACACATAATGGGTCCCTAAGTGTCTCATATTTTTGAGGTATTACAAATGGTATTTTTTATTTTTAAAAAAATATTTATTTTTTAATTGTAGTTGGACACAATACCTTTATTTATTTATTTTTATGTGGTGCTTAGGATTGAACCCAGGGCCTCGCATATGCTAGGCGATCACCACTCTACCGCTGAGCCACAATCCCAGCCCCACAAGTGGTATTTTTTAAAATTTCAATTTCCAAATTTTTTATTACTATAATACAGAAATAGAATTGCTTTTTTCTTTTCTTTTCTTTCTTTCTTTCTTTCTTTTTTTTTTAAACCGGAGATTGACCCTAGAGGTGCTTTACCACTAAGCTACAGCCACAGTCCTTTTTATTTTTTATTTTAAGACGGGATCTGGGGCGGGGGGCACTGGGGTTGTGGCTCAGCGGTGGAGC